AAACGGCAAGCAGGCTCAGGCGTCTTTCACCGGGAAGCCCTGCAACCCTGCTGCTGCAGCCGCCGGCGCCCGCTGATTTCCTTTTCCCTTCGGAGCAATTGTCGATGAAGTCTCGCCTTCTCCTCCTCGCCCCCCCGGCGCTCGCAGCCTGTGGCGGCAGCGGCAACACCGCCAATAGCAGCACCCCAGCCGCCTCCCTGCCGCTGCCTGCCGTGCCCGCGCCGGCCGGTCAGGACTGGACCCGTGTCGTTCACAAGACCGACGAGGGCTATGTGATGGGCAACCCCAACGCGCCCATCGCTGGTCGAATATGGCTCGCGCCTGTGCCCATTCTGCGGCGCCTTCGCGCGTGAAGGGTTCGAGCCGCTGACCAACAATTACGTCAAGTCGGGCAAGGTCAGCTGGGAATTCCGCAATTCCTGATCCACGGCGCTCCCGATCTGCCGCCGGCGCTGCTCGGCATCTGCCGGGCGAGACGATCTTCTTCCCGCTGCTCGAGCAGATGTATCAGGCGCAGCAGGGATTCAACGACAAGCTGCAGGCGATGCCGCCCGCCATGCAGCAGCAGCTTCAGAACGCCAAGCCGGTCGACGCCATCAAGGCGATGGCCGAGCAGATGGACCTGATCAACTTCGTCAAGCAGCGCGGCATCCCCGAAGCCAAGGCGCGCCAGTGCCCGGGCCGACATGAATCCAGATCGACCGCCTGACCAAGCAGACCCAGATCGCGGTGCCGACGGCACGGTGACCGGCACGCCGACCTTCATCCTAAACGGCCAGCCGCTCAAGGGCGCGATCAGCTGGTCGGACGTCCAGCGGCGGCGCTGAAGAACGCCGGCGCCTAAGCGGGGCGGTTTCTGGTTTCAGGAAAGGCGGTCGGGCGAAGGTCCGCCGCCTTTTTTTTTTTTTCCCCAACGAAGACCACCCCGGCGAAGGCCGGGTCCAGTTGCGTTACGTTCGGAGGGGACGTCGAACGTCGCATGGGAAGCCCTTCACACCTCCGACCGCGCGCTGGCATCGCGTAACGCGCCATCAGCCGAACTGCTATTGACCCCCGGCCTTCGCCGGGTGGCATGGCAGTCATGGTTGCGCTTCGCCTCACGTCCGTGGAATGACCATTCTCATCCCAACCTCCGTTCGCACCGCTGAGCGAAGTCGAAGTGCATGCCCTCCCTTACGCCGGATGACTCGTGGCCTTCGACTTCGCTCAGGCCGAACGGAGCGCCGGAAAATAGAGCAGACGTAAAAGGCCCGGGATCGCTCCCCGTGCCCTTCGTGTTTGACTGTGCCGCCAGGGACAAAGCTGGTCTGGTCTCGGCGGCAAGCCTGCCGGTTTCGATCCGACTTAGAAGTCCATGCCACCCATGCCGCCCATGCTGCCGCCGGCGGGCATGGCGGGCGACTTGTCTTCCGGCAGCTCGGCCACGGTGGCTTCCGTGGTGATGAGCAGGCCGGCGACCGACGCTGCGTTCTGAGCGCGGTGCGCACGACCTGGTCGGGTCGATGACGCCAGCGGCAACCGTGTTCTCATAGGTGTCGGTCGACGCGTTGAAGCCGAACGAGGTGTCGGTCTGGTCGAGCAGCTTGCCCGACACGACCGCACCGTCATGGCCGGCGTTCTGAGCGATCTGGCGAACCAGCGCGGTCAGCGACTTGCGAACGATGTCGATGCCACGGGTCTGGTCGTCGTTGACGCCCTTGACGCCGTCGAGCGCCTTGGTCGCATACCAGCAGCGCCGTACCACCACCGGGGACGATGCCTTCTTCGACGGCCGCGCGGGTCGCGTGCAGCGCGTCGTCGACGCGGTCCTTGCGGCCTTTCACCTCGACCTCGGTCGCACCACTGACCTTTGATCACGGCGACGCCGCCGGCGAGCTTGGCCAGACGCTCCTGAGCTTCGCGGTCGTAATCGCTGGTGGTGTTCTCGATCTGCGCACGGATCGCCTCGGTGCGGCCCTTGATCGCTTCGGCATCACCCGCGCCATCGACGATGGTGGTGTTGTCCTTGTCGATCGTGACGCGCTTGGCGGTGCCCAGCATACCGACGGTGACCGACTCGAGCTTGATGCCCGTGTCTTCCGGAGATCAGCTCGCCCGCGGTCAGGATGGCGATGTCTTCCAGCATCGCCTTGCGACGATCGCCGAAGCCCGGTGCCTTGACCGCTGCGACCTTCAGGCCGCCGCGCAGCTTGTTGACGACCGTGGTCGCCAGCGCTTCGCCTTCGATGTCCTCGGCGATGATCAGGAGCGGACGGCCCGACTGACGACGGCTTCCGGATCGGGAGCATCGCCTGCAGGTTCGACAGCTTCTTCTCGTGGATCAGGATGTACGGGTCGTTCAGTTCGACCGTCATCTTTTTCGGGTTGGTGATGAAGTAGGGCGACAGGTAACCACGGTCGAACTGCATGCCCTCGACGACGTCGAGTTCAAACCGAGACCCTTGGCCTCTTCGACGGTGATGACGCCTTCCTTGCCGACCTTTTCCATCGCCTCGGCGATCTTCTCGCCGACTTCACGGTCGCCATTGGCCGAGATGATGCCGACCTGCGCGCGACTTCGTTCGAGCCCGAAACGGGCTTCGAGCGGGCCTTGATGTCCTCGACGACCTTGGTGACGGCGATGTCGATGCCGCGCTTCAGGTCCATCGGGTTTCATGCCGGCCGCAACCGACTTCATGCCCCTCGCGGACGATCGCCCGGGCGAGAACGGTCGCAGTGGTGGTGCCGTCACCGGCGATGTCGTTGGTCTCGACGCCACTTCGCACCATCTGCGCGCCCATGTTCTCGGAACTTGTCCTGAGTTCGATTTCCCTGGCGACCGAAACGCCGTCCTTGGTGATGCGGGGGCGCACCGAACGACTTGTCGATCACGACGTTGCGGCCCTTCGGGCCCAGCGTGACCTTGACGGCATCGGCGAGGATGTCGACGCCCTTCATGATGCGCTCACGCGCGTCGCGCGAAAACTGACTTCCTTGGCTGCCATGGTGGCTACCCTTTCAATCTGGAATGTTGGGAAACGGAAAGAGGATCAGTCGCTCAGCCGATGATGCCGAGGATGTCCGATTCCTTCCGCGATCAGCAGGTCTTCACCGTTGACCTTGACTCGGTGCCCGACCACTTGCTGAACAGAATGCGGTCGCCCGCCTTCACGTCCAGCGGCGTGACCTTGTTGTCTTCGGCCTTCGCGCGGTGCCGGCGGCGACGACTTCACCTTCCTGCGGCTTTTCCTTGGCGGTATCCGGGATGATGATCCCACCGGCCGTCTTTTCCTCGGCCTCGACGCGACGGACGAGAACGCGGTCGTGCAACGGACGAAAGTTCATTGCCATGTCCCTTTATCTGGCATGTTACACTTTTCTGGCACTCGAGCCATGCGAGTGCCAACGCCCTGATATGTGAACGGGCCATTCAGCCCGTCAACGACCCCCGGCAAAAAAATTTCGACGAAGCGCCCCTGCCCGCGGGAACAAAATTGGCGCGCCGATCGTCCGTGTTGGCGAGCTAATACGGGCCATTGCCCCGTTTTCCTGGCTGGGCTAGCTATGACGCATGACTGACGCTCGCGCAGACGCTCTTCCGCCCGCCTCTCCCTCGATCAGGATTTTAGCCGTCCGGGCGCAAGCCCGGCCGCGCAGCGGATGGCGGCTGGTGCGGGCGCGGGCGGTTGCTGGTCGGGATCAAGGATCTGCTGGTCCCGTGGCGATGCTGCTGTTCTTTCGGCTGATCTTCGCCGCCCTCAACGCGCGGCCAGGGACCAAGGCGATCAGCGACGGCGCCCCTGTTGCTCAAGCTGGACGGCCCCCGTCGAACAGCCTGGAGGACGGTCGCCCTCGCCATGCTGTCGGGCCGGGGAGCCCGCGTCAATTCCGCCTGCGCGATGTCGTGCGCGCGATCGACGCGCGCGACGACGCTCGGGTCAAGGTGCTGGTGCTCGATCTCGATGCGTTCGGCGGCGCCTATCCGGCGGCGATCTGTGAAATGGGCGATGCCCTCGCCCGCTTCCGCAAAGGCGGCAAGCCGGTGCTGACCTATGCCACCGCCTATACTGACGGCGCCTATCGCCCGCCGCGCATGCCAGCGAAATCTGGGTCAATCGCTGGGCGGCACGCTGTTCATGGGGCCGGGTGGCAAATCCAGCTTTATTATAAAGGGGCTGATCGACAAGCTGGGCGTCACCGCGCATGTCTACCGCGTCGGTGTTCAAGTCCTTCGTCGAGCCCCTATATCCGCACCGACCAGAGCCCCGATGCGCGCCGCGTCGCAGGCGCTTTTATGGCACATTGTTCGCCCAGTGGCGCGAATCGGTCGCCAAGGCCCGGCCCAAGGCGCAGATCGACGGCTTCCCTGACCCAGCCCGATCGCGCCGTGCTGGCCGCGAACGGGCAAATATCGCCGAGGCCAATCTAAGGCCGGGCTGGTCGACAGGCTGGGCGACCGCATGGCCTTCGGCAAGCGCGTCGCCGAGATTGCGGGCGTCGAGAACGGCAAGCCCGCCGGCAGCTTCCGCACCATCGGCTATGACGCCCAGGGTCCGCGCCAATCCGCTCCCCGTCCAGGCGATGCGATCGGCGTGCTGACCATCGCCGGCAACATCGTCGATGGCGACGCAGGGCCCCGGCACCGCGGCGGGCGATACTATTCTCCGAGGCGTTGCTCGACGGCTCGCCAAGAAGAAGCTGAAGGCGCTGGTCGTGCGTGTCGATCTGCTGGCGGATCGGTGCTGGCGTCCGAGCAGATCCGCCGCGATCCTCGAAGCCAAGCGGCAGAAGCTGCCGGTCGTCGTCTCGATGGGTGGCCTCGCCGCGTCGGGCGGTTACTGGGTCGACGCCCGCCGACATCATCTTCGCCGAACCCGCACCATCACCGGTTCGATCGGCATCTTCGGCCTGATCCCCTCGTTCGAGAACACGTTGGCCAAGATCGGCGTGACCACCGACGGGTGAAGACCACCCGCTGACCGGCCAGCCCGACGTGCTGGGCGGCTTCACGCCGATGCTGGTTACGATCCTGCAGGCGGGGATCGAGAATGGCTATCGCCAATTTCCTGACCCGCGTCGCCCAGTCGCGCCACATGACGCCCGGAAAAGTCGATACCATCGCGCAGGGCCGCGTGGGACGGCGGCACCGCGCCCAGATCGGGCTGATCGACCGCTTCGGCAATCTGTCCGACGCGGTCGCCGCCGCGCGCCGCGCCAAGCTGGACCCCGCCAATATCCAGCCGAATATCTGGAGAAGAAGCCAGGCTTCGCCGCCGAGCTAATCGGGGTTCGAGGATGACGACGATCGACCTGTGATGGCAGCGACGTCTTCGCCATCGCCGCTGCCGAGCGGCGGGCGGTCGCGGCCTGCGCGCTGGGCGATGTCCAGCGGCTGGTGCGCAGCGGTTCGGTCCAGCCCCGCTGCCCGGAGTGGCGCGCTGGGTCCGATGGCGACGGCGAGCGATCAACGCCTGCTCAACCTGCTGATCGCGCGGCTGGGGCTAACCGCGGCCCACACCTGTTCCAGCCTGAGCGTAGTCGAAGGCCAAGGGAATTCCTCTCGGGTCGCGCTGAGCGAGTCACCGTGCCCGGCAATCCCTTGTCGACGGGCGGGACGCGGCCTTCGACTTCGCTCAGGCTGAACGGATGAATGGGTCTTTCCGAAGCGGCCTTCCCTGCGCTAGGCAGGCTCACCGCTTCCGGAGACCCACATGATCGCGATCCGCGCCGCCCACCCTGACGATGCCGCCATCGCCCTGATCTATGCCCCGCATGTGCTGGCCGGCGTCGTCTCGTTCGAGACCCGTGCGCCCGATGCGGACACGATGCGCGCGCGCGCATGGCGGGGCGGATGGGTTCACCCCGGATCGTCGCCACGCTGCGCAGCGAGGAAGGCGGCGAGGAGGCGGTGATCGGCTATGCCTATGCCGCCCGCTTTTTCCGCGAGCGCGAGGCCCTATCGCTGGGTGGCTGAAACGACGATCTACGTCGCCGACGTGTCGCAGCGCGCCGGCGTCGGCCGACTGCTTCTACGAGGCGCTGGTCGACACGCTGACCGCGCAAGGCTTCACCAGTGCGATGGGCGTGATCGCGCTGCCCAATGACGGCCTGAAAGCTGCACGAAGCGGTCGGCTTCCGCCGCGCCGGCGTCTTTCGCGAGGTGGGCCACAAGCATGGCTGCTGGATCGACGTCGGTTACTGGCAGCGAACTCGCCGAGCCGGCGACGCATCCCCGCAGAACCCCGCCCCTTCGCTGAGGTGGGCGTAGTCCGTGATCCTGTAGCGGCGAAGCATCGGTAAGGCCGAAAAGGGCACAAAACGCCCGTCTAACAAAATGCGCATCTCGGCTGATAAATTTTATAACGTTGCAAATAAAGCTGAAATTCCGTGCAATATAGTGTCGCGATAACAAGCAGGTGCGACCATGATCACGGGAAGCGTGGGAAGGTACGGCCTCAATCGGCATGACGATGTCGGCTTGTCTCAATCCCCTGTTGAAGGGGCAAGGGGGATGGACCCCGGCCCTATCGATCACATTGCGGACCGGCGTATCATTGCGGCGATTGTCGGGTTTCAGCAGCGTTTTCTTACCAGACCCGATGGCAGGGTTGATGTTGGCGGCATCACACTTGCCCGCTTGCAAAAGCGGCGCGGTGCGGCGGCGCCTCGCCATATGGTTCAGCCGGATCGCGTGGCGGCTTTCACCGTTGCGCCCAGAAGTGGTTCAGGCTCCGGCGGCGAACCGAAGAATTGACCGGCGACAGCAAGTGGCCGCAGGATAAAAAGCTGGCCAGCCTCGAACCGGGATTTCGCAGAAAGATCGAAGCCGTACTGCAAACGCTTCGCGCGCAAGGATTTCGTCCCGACATCGTTTTGGTTGGCGATCGGTGGCGGTGCAGCAGCAACCGACGCGCAGGGCGTAACTAAGGTGCGGTTCAGCTTTCAACGCACTGAACGCCTGGACGTCCCAATGCACGGGCGGTCGACATCGTTGACGAACGCTGAGGCTGGAACGAGCCGGATTGTCACATCTTCTTCCGCACGCTCGAAAGCTGGAAGGCGCAAGGCACGCATGGGGGTGGCGATTGGACGGGATTTCGACTGGGCGCATTTGTAAGGCCGTCAGAATTCGAGCTCCGCCAAGTGAAACGGGGAGAGCGGTCTATGAAGGATATCCACTACCCGTTTCGGCATGCCATCACCCTTGGCGCGGTGTGCGTCGCATTACCCATGACAATAGCCGATGCGCAACCGGTCAGTTCGATTGGATGATCGTCCAGACCGCCCGCGACCCTCGCGCTTGGTTGGGTTAGCCGCGGCAAGGCGCGCGCGGGCGCGCGGGTTTTATCGGCGGCGGACTGCGCCGAGTTTCGCCCGGCTTTTATGTGCTGGGCTGGCCGGGCGTGCCTGCCTGGCAGGCAAGCCGATGGCAGGCAGCTATACAAGCACTGTACGCCCAAGCCCGGCAGTGTCGGCTCGGCCTGCCGGCGGTCGATCCCAGCTTTGCCGCGATGCGCGACACGCCGATCAACTTCAGGGGGTCGATATCCGTCACGACGATCCAGTCACGATTGCTGCTGCGCCCCGTACACGCCCGCCGCCAATGACCCGCGCGAGGGCCTGCGGATGGCGGTCGAGGATGTTGCGGGCCCCCGACGCCTGATCGAACGTGACTGCAGTCAAGCAGAGGTTGCGCGCAACGGACGCTATATCGCCATCGCCTGTGCCGTGGAGCAGGTCGGCGACGCACCGGTTTTCTGCACTTCGATCTACCGCGCCGGATCTGGCCCGCCTCCGCGTCGAACCCCTGCTGTCGCAAACCGCAATTCGCCGCCGAGCATATTCTGCAATGCGCGGCGCAGCGTATCGGCAAGCATGGACGCGTGATCGAACAGCCGCGGCGGATCACGCTATAGGCCATCCGGTTCCGGCCAGGCAGCTCCGCCATGGCTCGGATCGGCGTCCCATCGCCCTATCCCGGCCACAGCATACCAATCTGGGCTTGGCTTTGCGCCCCGCTTTGTCTAACGCCGTGGGCGAAGCGCCCATCCGGGCCCGTCAAGGAAGGAACAGGCATCATGGCTGCCGACTGGTCGACGATCGAATCGCTCCCGCAGACCCCGCTTCTCGATCTTTCGCGAATGATCCCAACCGGCTGGCGTCGCTCAGCCCGGACGTGGCGGGTATCCATTTCGACTGGTCCAAGACGCATCTGACGCCGGAAGCCGTCGCCGCGCCGAACTCGCCAAGGCGAGCGGCTCAGCCGCCAAGCGCGACGCGCTGTTCGGCGGTGAAGTCGTCAACGTCACCGAGGGCCGCGCGGTCGAGCACACCGCCGAGCGCGCGGCGAATAATCCCGAAAGTGCCCACCGCCCGCGCCTCGCACGCCCGGATGCGCGCGCTGATCGACGCGATCGAGGCCGAGGCGCTGGGGCCGATCCGCCATATCCTGCATCGGCATCGGCGGCTCGGCGCTGGGCCCCGATCTGCTGGTCGATGCGCTGGGCCGCGACAGCGACCGGTATGACGTGGCGATCGTGTCCAATGTCGATGGCATGGCGCTGGAAGAGGTGTTCGCGCTTCGACCCCGCCGCGACCCTGCTGGTCGTCGCCTCCAAGACCTTCACCACCACCGAGACGATGCTCAACGCCACCTCGGCGCTGCAATGGATGACCGAGCATGGCGTCGAGGACCCCCATGGCCGCATCATCGCGCTGACCGCCAACCCGGACAAGGCGGTCGAATGGGGCGGATGAGACGCGCATCCGTCCTTCGCCGAGTCGGTGGCGGCCGCTATTCGCTCTGGTCGACGATCGGCTTCCCGCCGCGCTGGGCCCGGCTGGGACGCGTTCGAGGAACTGCTGGAGGGCGCGGCCGAAATGGACCGCCATTTCCGCCTGACCGACCTCCAGCCAGAACGCCCCGCGCTCGCCGCCTTTGCCGACCTTTTTATTACACCTGGTCCGCCATGCCGAGACGCGCGCGCCCTTCGCCTATGACGAGCGCCTGCGCCTCCTGCCCTCCCATTCCAGCAGTTGGAGATGGAGTCGAACGGCAAGCGTCACTGTCGACGGCCAGCCGGTGGACGTCCCACCGCCGCGATCACCGCGGCGCGTCGGCACCGATGCGCAGCATGCGGTGTTCCAGCTTCTTCACACGGGGGCGCATCTGGTCCCCGTCGAATCTATCGCGGTGGTCGAGCCGGGCGATGTGTTGAGCGACGAGCATCATCGCCAGTTGCTGCTTAATGCGTTCGCGCAAGGGGCCGCGCTGATGAAGGGCAAGAAGACCGACGACCCCGCACGCAGCTATTCGGGCGATCGTCCGTCGACCATCCTGCTGGAAACGCTCGACCCGCGCACGCTGGGCGCGCTTGATCGCGTTCTATGAGCACCGGTGTTCGTGAACGGCGTGCTGCTGGGCATCAACAGCTTCGACCAGTTCGGCGTCGAGCTGGGCAAGGAAAATGGCCAAGGCGGCTGACCGGGGCGGGCAGGATTTCGATCCCTCGACCGAGGACCTGATCCAGCGGGCGTTTGGGTGGTCTTTCCTCCCCTGTAAGGGGGAGGGGACTATAAGCTGGTGGAGGGGTGTCCCGCTATCGAGAGGGCGACACCCCTCCGTCAGGCTGACGCCCTGCCCCCCTTGCAGGTGAGGAATTTGGAATAACCGATCACTGTCAGGGGACGCTGAACTTGGCTCGGCGTCCCCGTTGTGCTTTTTTAAGCAGGCGCTATCGCCCTTACCCATTCCCGGAGAAACTGCCCCATGGCTGAGTATGACTATGACCTGTTCGTCATTGGCGCAGGGTCCGGGGGGCACGCGTGCCTCGCGCGTGGCGGCGGCGCATGGCGCGCGCGCGTGGCGGTGGCCGAGGAATATCGCGTCGGCGGCACCTGCGCTTCGCGGCGTGTGCCGAAGAAGCGTTTCGTCTACGGTGCGCATTTCGCCGAGGATCTGAAGGACGCGCGCCGCTTCGGCTGGCAGGTGCCGAGCGAATGCGAATTCTCCGGGCGACCTTTGCGCGACAATGTCCTCGGCCGAAGTCGATCGCCTGAACGGCGCCTATAAGAAGACGCTGGAAAGCCACGGCGTCGAGATCATCGACCAGCGCGCCGTCGTCACCGGTCCCAACAGCGTGCGGCTGGCCGACGGCACGGAGAAGACCGCCAGCGCATCCTGATCGCGGTCGGCGCGCATCCCGCCATCCCGAGTTGCTCCTGGCCATGCCAGCACGGCATCACCTCCAACGAGGCGTTCCATCTCGACCTCGATCCCCAAGCGTGCTGATCGCGGGCGCGGGCTATATCGCCAATGAATTTGCTGGCGTCTTCCACCAGTTCGGCGCGCACGTCACGCTGATCAATCGCAGCAAAGAAATCCTGCGCGGCTACGACCTGACGATCCGCGACCGGCTGCTCCAGATTTCGATGATGAAGGGATCGATTTCCGCTTCGACGCGACCTTCCAGGATCGAAAAGCTGACGACGGATCGCTCAAGGTCTCATAGTCGGGCCATGACCCGATCGAGGTCGATCTGGTCATGTTCTCGCCACTGGCCGCGTGCCCAACACCCATGGCACGGGCCTCGAGACGGCGGGCGTCGAGTTGGACGATATCGGGGCGATCAAAGTCGATGAGGACAACCAGTCGACCCGTCCGAGCATCTATGCGGTCGGTCGGCGATGTCACAACCGTGTCCAGTTGGACCCCGGTCGCCATTCGCGAGGGCTGGCCTTTGCCGACACCGTCTATGGCAACAAGCCGACCCGCGTCGATTATGACTGCATTCCTGCGGTTGTATTCAGCCACCCGCCCATGGCCGGTGTCGGTATGACCGAGGCGGAGGCCAAGCAGAAGCTGGGATCGGTGCAGGTCTATACCTGACTTCCGGCCCGATGAAGAATGTGCTGGCGGGTCGCGACGAGCGTGCCCTCTACAAGATGGTGTGCGAGGGCGTGACCGGCAATGTCGTCAGGGCTGCATATGATCGGCCCTGATGTGCCTGAAATCCTCCGGGGCCGCCCGTGGCGGTGAAGGCTGGATCGACCAAAGGCACAGTTCGACGCCACTGTCGCGCCGCATCCGACCATGTCGAAGAACTCGTCCCCAGATGCGATGATCAGGAACCACATGCCTTTAACGGCGTCCCGCTTGGGGCATGGGCCGTAATCGATTGCATAAATACTTGTCGCGATAACGATTAGTTTGGCAAGCTTCGATCTGTAGTTCCTACCCGGCCGCGCTGACACGGTCGTGATCTTTCGAGTTGATAGTCCGATGAGCCACCCGAACGTCACATTGAGCATGTCATCGCCCCGCACAGGCCGCCATGGAGGGCGCCGACGCGCTCGGCATGCCGCTTGCGGGCAATCATATCGCGGCGGCCTCGATATCCTGCGCGCCGCTAGCCCTGAGCAGCCGGATGTCCGCGATCACGGCTGAACCACGATCAGCCTGACGCAAAGGGGCTGAACGAAACTTGATATCCACGCCATGCGGCAAGGATATCGGGATGATGAGATCGGCCTTTAGTCGACGACGACGTCTTCCACCTTCCCATCGTCGAGCGCGGTCGCGCGGACATGCGCCGGGCGATCGGCCAGTCGGCTGATATAGGCCATGACCGAATCATTTTGGGTATCAGTCCAAACTGGGTGAACCACATGAGTTGTGACCCCAGATAAACATCGGCGGCGGTGAAGCGCTCGCCGGCGATATATGATACCGGGCCACGGCCCGGTCGACGACCGCCACCGCCCGGTTGAAATCGCCATAGCCCGCCATGCGCTGCTGCTCGAGCGTCGGCGTGACGTTCATCGCGCGATTGCGATCGCGGCCCAGCGGCCCCGACGCGAAGAACAGCCAGCGATAATAATCCGCGCGCTCCTGCGGCAGCGGCGCCAGTTCGGCATCGGGAAAGGCCTCGGCCAGATAGGCACAGATCGCCGCCGTCCCTCGAACACCACCTGCCCGCGATAGACGATCGCGGGCACCTTCATCATCGGATTGATCGCGCGATATTCGGGCGCCACCATCGTCGTACCATAGTCAAGGATGACGGTATCATAAGTGGCGCCCGTCTCCGAGCATCCAGCGCGCGATCCGGCCGCGCGATTGGTGATTGGTGTAGAGTATCAGTTCGGCGGTCATGCGATATCTCCCCATATGCTGCTGCCCTGAGCCCTCATCGGGTATCAGGCATGATCGAGATGGCGATGCAAAGCCGAGCGTCCGCGCCCAGCGCCCGGGTCGCGGCGGCGGCATTATAGCGTTCGGCGCTGGTGTCGTTGTTGAAGGCATGATCGACCCGGCATAGGTAAAGGCCTCTACCGGGATGCCCGGCGGCCTTCAGCGCGGCGACCCGTGGCTCGCCCGTGGCGTTCACCCGCGTATCCTTGCCGGCATATACGAGAGCATCAGCGCACGGACCTGGCCGCCCCGGCCGGCGCGGGCGCGGGACCATAATAGGCCACGCCTGCCGCCAGAGCCGGTCCCGCCGCGACCGCCAACCGGTTGACGGCGGCCCTGCCCCAGCAGAAGCCGACCGCGCCGACACGCCCTGTCCCCCGCCTTTGTCCGCCGCCGCATGCGCCATCATCGCCCCCGCGCGGGCCAGCGCCTGATCATAGTCGAGCGAACCGATCAGCGTGCGGGCGCGATCCTCGTCCGCCGGGGTGCCGCCCTGCGGCGCCAGCAGATCGGGGGTCACGCGGAACCCCGCCAGCCAGCCGCCGCGCGATATCCTCGATATGCGGGTCAGCCCGCGATTCTCATGGATGACCAGCATCTCGCCCAGCCGCTTTTTCGCGTCACGCGGCACCACGATATAGGCTGCGGAGCGAGCCCCTGCATCCATCCTCGCGACGATCGATGATGCGCAGGCGGGCGTCATGGGGATCGGTGATCGCCGCCGCCGCCGGCTCGCCGCGATGCCCAGATCAACGCCTCGGCTGCGGCGGCCGAGCCAGCGAGGCAGCCATCTGGCGCAACAGGGTACGCTGGTCGCGATGCTCATGGGTGAAGGCGTCCGTAGATCTGAACGGCGCGGTCGCGCAGCGTCTCGGTCGGGGGGACTTCGGTCATGCGGACATCCTCCATCCGGCCGCGCGCGGGGCGGGCCTGCCACCTTTTCGCTCCCATCGCGACCACGCCATCAGCATAGTCGCTGGCATCCTGATCGGCTAGGCTCGGCATGGATCATAGGGGAGGATCAAGAACATGATGATCATCGCATGGGCCCTGCTCCAGTCGCAGGTGCAAACCCCACCACCGCCGCCTCCCCCGATCCATGGCGGCAACGTGCCGATGACCTGCCCGATCGGCGGTGAGACATTCTCCGGATGGCAGATGGGCAGCTATTCCACCTATGGCGAGCGTCCTGATGGGCGTCCCTATAGCTATATGCAGTTCCTTTCCCGTGCCGGAAATGCCCGGACAATCATCTGGTGGTGTTCGATCGCTTCTCGGAGACGGGACAAGGCCGCGCCGCGGTGCTGATCGCCACGCCCGTCTATGCCAAGCTGGTCGCGCAA